AGTGCTTGAAAAAAAAAAAAAAAAACGAGAGTGAATCTTCCACTAGAACATGGAAAGATGCACCGCCACGAGGCCCCAAGGATGACACGCATAGGTTGTTGTCAGCCCGTGTATCTCATTGGGCCCCTGTATCCCCTTTGCACAAAAGACAAAAATCATGGCGCTGTATCTTTCCATGTTCTAGCGAAGATTCATTCCCTGTATCTCGTTGGGCCCCTCTGCGTTTCCGGTAGGCCGCCAAACACATTTTTCCTTGCAGTTTCGAACTTGTCTTCGCCCAAGCTTGGAGTTTCGAACTTGTCTTCGCCCAAGCTTGGAGTGGACTGTTATTCCTGCGAATTTGAAACTGTGCAGCGGTCACCCGCGGAGTTATTTCAAAAAAAAAAGTAGCAGGGTTTTGCTTGGAAGTGTTTGATCCTTAGTTTGTTTTTTTAAGGAGCTTTGCCTTTTGCCCGCGGATGGCTGCAGTTCCTGGCCTGTTACTCAGTTCGATACCTGCTGTAATATGTGTATCGCTTTCGGGCTACCTATACCCCATAATGAACTCTGCTTGGCCCATTGCGGCCCTTTGTTCGCCTCTGAGAAAAATGGCCCTCGCTGCACCTCTGTCGAGGATAGAACCGTTTTCTGGCCCTGTAATGTAGTGGCCCGAAAGAGGTTCCTTGGTTTTCAGAAGCTGGTAGTTTTGTCGTTTACCAGTTGGACCGAAGCTGTAGCTCAGGTACGTAACTTTCGTACCAGCAGTACTGGGACTTTCGAGACCGTGGTACGTTTGTTCCGTACATTTGACTTTTTGGCTTTTGCACACTATACGGTACCTGAACCATCGGATTACATATAGGTAATGATTGCATAGCTATAATCCTCTTTGGGTCCTACGTTGGTATTGTCGCGCTGACGTTTCCGGAGACGTCAGCGGAGGAACGGTGGAGGTGGGTTGGATGGAAGTATGGGAATTGACGAGGGAGATGTCTGGTGGTTTCCCCCTGAAGAAGACCGCATGGCGGCGGTCGAAACCGGTCTGGGTGCCTTACCCACCGGCTATTGCAATCTAGTATGTACAAGTTTTTTGTACTGAGTTCTTTTGTTGCGACTTCTAATCACTCCATGTGTGTTTGGACTCCTACACAAGCTCTCTTGTGTTTGACTTCTAACCACTCTATGTGTGTTTGGATTTCCTACTCAAGTCTCACCTTTAAATCACCGTGCAGACATGCACCTCTTGATGAAATGGGGATGCACCGAGGCGTTGGCGTTGACCACACTACAGATGGGTTGTTATTTGAGAAGACTAACGTAGCTGACTGATTGTGTGTTCCCACCCAACAGTGAAGAGATCCGTAGTCTGATATTCGGGGAATGCCACAATACACAGGGACACTTCGGTTGACAAAAGACACTAGCCAACCTCGTTCGCGCATATACATGGCCCGGCATGAAAGCCGACTGCATAGAGTACGTGCGCGGTTATAAAGTATGCCAGAGGAATAAGACCACTACCTGAGCCCCTCTTGGTCTTCTCAGACCCTTGCATATTTCCCGCAGGACCCGGAGATTCTGTGTCCGTCGATTTCATGGACGCTGGGGTCAAGAGTAGGCATGGCAAGAGCCAAGGCATAGTCATAGTTGGTAGGTTTAGGAAGTATGCAGTTTTTGTTCCTTTGCCTTCAGAGGCACGCACATATATCTAGTAATGGAGAAGTTTTTTTCATCATTAGGTCCGTGAACATGGTCTACCGCTGTCCATAGTTAGTGACAGAGATACCAGGTTCACGACCGTCGCATTTAGCAACAACCTGTCGAACTCCCAACGAACTGCATAAGTCCTTTAGACCGCGTAGACCGCGTTTGAGGGACTAAACCGGGATCAGATCCAAAGGTTACCGCAGTTTGAACTACAGCACGAGAAAGAGATTGCTACCGTAATAGAGAACCTCAGGAAGGCCCAGCATAAGATGATAGAGCAAGCCAACAAGCACCGTCGCCCATCGCAGTTTCAGGTAGGCGACCTAGTCTGGGTCAAGTCTAAGGAGTTTGCTCCTGAGGAGAACATCTCACAGAAACTATTACCTGCTTATAGAGGACCGTGGCCAGTTCTAGAAGTTAAGGGCGGAGAGGATGGACCGTCCTACACAATAGAGATTCCAGCACACCTCCACACCTACCCAGTTTTTTACGCGTCAAAGTTGTTGCCTTGTACACCACGAGTCAGCAGTTCCCATCGCGGAGGTCCCTGATCCCTCCGACATTGATCGCATAGTAGGTGACGACGTATTCAGAACAGGAGGTAGAGGTCGTCCACAGAAACAGTACAAAGTCAGATTTTCTTATCAAGAACCGGAAGATGGTTGCTGGTTTACTCGAACCGAGCTTCTAGAGACTGCTCCCGATGTAATCCGCGCCTATAATGAGAGAGATAAGAAAGGTAAAGGTCCCTGCCTTGGACTGAAGTATTCTCGAGGACCTCGAATTTAGGCCGGCGGGAGTGAAACGGTTTTCACCTTCGTGGCAGCTGATGCAGATCCCAGGGCTCGATCCCTAGTCCTGCCCCGAACCCATGTACCGTATAGTTTGCCCCATCTAGGTTTGAACCCGTGACCTGCCCCTAACGTTGTCTGTCTAAGGCTGCTGTAGATCTGAAGGTTGAGTAGGTTCGAGCTGCTTGCCTGTAGGGTAGGAGTCGTAGCTTATGTCTGGTCGTAGCTGCTGTAGATCTGAAAGGTCAACCTTAGTCGTAGCTGCTACAGTACCTAAAGGGCAAGTAGGAAGGTCTAGAGTCTTCTAGGACTGCCCTTCGAGAGTCTCAGAAGCAGTCCGTAGGCAAGTGGGCAAGTGGGCAGACTCACCTGGTCCAGTCAGCGGTGCCCAGTCCCAGTCGCACCTTGTCCAGTCAGCAAGTACCATGTGGGACTGTGTGCATCCTAGGACCGAAGGAAAGGAGCAGACCAGCGACCAACTGAAGTATAAATCAAGAGGCAGCGTCCAGTTATATTCATGGATTCAGACTGTGAGCCGTGCGGAAGCGCTACCTGAGCGACTCGTGCAAGGAGGTCTGCGAGTGCCCGAGGAAGAAGTGGGCTGAAAGGGAGACGAAGCGGCCATAGCCGCTAGTTAGTGGTAGAGGTAGCGAGCAGCCAGAGCTGCGCTAGGTTAGAAGTTTTAGAACTAGGCTATAACGTGTTTGTGTATGTAAGCGCAGTGAATTGTGTGCGTGTGTGGGAGGGGACATCCAGGGAGATCCAGAGTAGCGTGCGTGTGAACAGTTGCTGGGGATACAGAGTGGAAGGGTGTTGTGAGGGCGGATAGGCGCCATAGCCATTCGAAGCAAGTTGAATCTGAACTGTGTTCTTGGCCATGATATCTCTCTGAGCTAAGTGTGGGCGCTCGTCGCCAGTGTGAAATGCCACTCGAACTCGGAGCTCGCTGTTTCTCCCCGAAATGCGTTGAGGCGCAGCAATTAACTGCACTATCCAGAGGTAAAGCAATGTTGTGATTGCCATCTGTTTCCATGCATGCTGAGTAAGAAAGTAGACGAGTCTGATTGCACTAGCAAAGAGGATTGGATTAACGCCTGAATGCGGGCATGTTTGTGGAGAGGTGCAGAAATTTGCAATTATCTGCTTTTCTGCATCTCTGCATAAAGCCCATCTACATTCAGGGGCTTAATCCAATCCTCTTGTTGGTGGGACCTTGCCCCGCACGGATACCATCATGTCAGGGGCTACCCCACTTACCAAACAGAGAGACAGAATTGGGGGGGGCAGAGAGAGAGAGAGAGAGTGTTACATGCTGAGCCTGCACACGGGCCCCGTTTTGGGGTCGGACGGTTGCTGGGGGCCCCCAGGCCACACGCCCCTCCGGCGCACGCCCTGGAGGCCCACGACCGGCCTTCGGGCCGCAGTTTCGATTTGAGGCAGCATTTCATTTATTTGTTTGCTGTACTATTTTCGTCTGTTCAGGCATCATTTCGGAGTAAGTCTAGCAGTTCGTCCGAACAGAGGCCACATTTTTGGCCTGGTACGGACGCAAGCAGGCCCTTTTGAGCCAGGTCCACTTTCCGATAGCGGACACTCCATGCTGCATCAGCAGGGAGCGCCTGGACGTCCGGTAGGGACGCAGGCAGGCCGTTTTAGCTCAAGGACCAGAGGCACACGGAGGCACACCCACGAGGCCCAGTGCTACTTATAGCTGGGCCAGGCCAGGGCAGACACACAGTTCGAGTAGCTCACTTCTTGGGCGACATGCTGCTGGAGCAGCACGGTACGGTGCTGCGCTAGAGGTAGAGGGGAAGAGAGAG